GATTCTGTTGTTTTTCGTAGATTTTGGCCAAATCGGTTAATTGCCCCCGATTAAAATACGATTTAATTTGCACAGCCCTAAAACCACACAGACCACACAACACACATACCCTAGATGTGTGTGTGAGGACACGTTTGTGTGTTACCTGTTAAGCCTGTGTATGTTCTTCATTGGCTGAACATGAATACATCGTTTACTTTGTAAGTAATATTGGGACGTATTCTTTCTGTTTTCATAGCATTTTTCCTTCATTACTTTATTTTGCCTTGAATAGGTCTTAAATTCTACAGTGGTCTTAAAGTCTTAAATTTGAGTTCGGCGAAACCTGCAGGCGAACCCTCGTTACAGTTGGGCCCAATTTTATTTCCCTGAAATGTCAACAATGCTCGGTCCCCAGCTTTGTGCATCACTTTTAGATTCCCCTGGTATTCCGTTGAGCCCTTCTGCATCGTTTTCCGTTTCATTGCCCAGCTGCTTTTAGAAAACACTGCGCTTGGTGTTTGCGTCAGTCGATGCCCTAGATTGTTTCTTCAATTGCCATGGTTTTGCACTTTTTGTTATTTTGAAATTGCTAACGCAAATGTATTTTGGTCGTTGTACCATGTGCACCTGTCGGCCACCGTACATATGGAATTCGTCTGCTGTGGATTTGCTTTAATTTATGGAAAAAAAGGCGGTGTTTTAAATGTTGCAGGATATGTTTTATTTAACATCGTTGGCATTTAGCTTCATAACCACCGTCGAAGTAAGACTATTTGTCCGAGAATGGAATTATATTCACACCTCAATGCCAGCCCACTGAATTTCTCCATGGCCTCTTATTTGTTTTGAGCACAGTTTCAATGAAGGTAGGCTGAACTCATCAACATACGAGATTTACGGTTTCTATAATGACGACATCGTTTTGATTGCCAATAACAGCAACCGCCGTTTCAATTTACTGCTGATCTTATTACATTATTTTGTATGTCGTCCAGTTTCTCTTTCTAGGGAAGTGGAATATTCCTTGGTTCTTAGTATTAGGGTTTGCAAAAATGAGAATCAGTGACAAAAGTCCACGGGTGACCTTTCTTGAAAAAGCATTCACTAAATTATAGTCTTGACACATGTTTCTGATTGGTCACCCTTGTCGCGGTTTTTTTAATTTACCCTCGCTGAATGTGAACTCTTTTTTACGACTGATGTGTGTAGTGCTCGGTCCACTTCTTGAAACACTTAAAGTTGGGTTGTGTCGATTGTGCTAAACCTCAGATCACAAAAAAGACATTCGCGCGCGCTCTTCTCACTTCTCGCTGTCCTACCTGCCCACATAATTTGGCATTTCATTTCAACAAAGCAGCTATTTTTCAGTGTTGCGTAATGGTGTCCTGATGCTCCCTTTAACCCCTCTACCTACTTTCGGTCAATGCGACTGATGAACAAAGCACTTTCAACTTGTTTTTGTATTTGATCCCAGATTAAATAATCACTGGCTGTTAAGTCATTATTAATTTGTAGGAAGAAAGACGTTTTTCCAGCCTCAAATTCATTTGATTAAGTATCCCATTTTGTTTCACTATCTTTGTCTAACCGACTGAAGAAAGGGAAAGGGCCTGCTCGCCTTGTCGATTTTCTTAATTTTTATCGTATTCTGTAATATTGTCAATTGATGTTTTCTTTCTATTGTAACTACAACTCTGGCTCTATGCCAGCTTCTTCTAGTCAGTTTGGTGACATTTTTAAGAATTTGTTTTGTTTCATTTTTGACAACAACTTTTTTACCTGACAACTCGAAGCTGTCGCGGCGAACATAGTCAAAGGAATTTTCATTTTAAATTGAAACAGCGTTGCCCAACTTCTAACAAAGACAGGTTATTTTTAACAACTTGATATATTAATTTCCCCCTTTTTTTTGATGGGCTTTTTAAGCTCACGATTCATATTGTCTAGCTCCCAAATACCATGTTTTTAAAAAACAAGCACAACAATGTTATGTGGGACAAAAAACAGATCTTTATTTATGATTTTCTATTGCTTTTCTGTTTTTCACAGGACAGACATTTTACTCTTATTATTACAAGGCGTTTTTAGCCAAAATATTAGGTGAATATTAACTTGATGTAAAACAGCGGGGAAGGAAGATTGTAACTAAATATTGTTTATCAAAACTATTGTGTTATTAGAAACCACGTTTATTTTTTGGGTAAAACTCTTGATACATATTCTTTGAAATTTCCTGTTTGGGTGAAAAAAAAAAAAAAAAAAAAAAAAAAAAAAAAAAAAAAAAAAAAAAAAACATACTATGTATTTCTGTACCTATTTTGGTAAAGGAATAATATAAGCTGTGACAAAAACTGAGACATTTGACGACTTTGTCCATCTTTCTTCTTTTGTTTAACGCAACTCACATTATTTACCTTAATATTAATTTTATGATGGTGAGGTTCTTATTTAGGAATATTTGTTTTATGATCTAGTAAATTGATTGTCATTTTACTTAAAGTCATCGTATGCAATTTTGAGGTTAATTATGCAACTCAATACTTCATTTTTGCGAGGCTAAATATTGGTACATTGTTTTTTTACAGTACATGCAGGGCCGGCCCCTGGCGAACTTGGGGCCAAGGTTCGCTTGGGGCCCCCGACAACCCTCCGCCGACTTGGGGCAAGCGACATTTGTTGAGATGCAGGCCCTGTTTACATGTATCTAACAGCTGGTAGATACCTTTAATGACTTTTTTACTGCAAGCTGTTTTAATCCATATATTACGTATTTTCATAATTCATTCATTCAGGAAATAAATACCTTCAAAGTACCAAGTACTAATCTTGTCAAATTAAATGTGGTTGAGAAAAAAAAAAAGCACAATGGTTTTGCTCCTAAATGTAGGTGTAGTTAAAAAGTTCAAGTAGGCCAAGTACCTCACAAATGTACAGTACTTGGAGTAAAAATCGTTACTTAGTTACTTTCACCTGTAATTTAACTGAATTAGAACACATTTTTCACCTTCTTGAGTCTTACAGGAATAAAGAAAATGGAATGTTCCTGAAAGATGATTCATCACTGAGCAAACATTTCCCTCTCCTATTCCTCAGTCGTTTAAAAGGGAAAAGCTGTTTTTTTGGCGAGACAGTTTTTATAAAGTCAACCTTATCAGCGTCTTCATTCCGTAACAGCGCAAAACAAAAACAAAGCGCCCTGTCAACTGTGAAAGTCCCCTGTTTCTGCTGCGAATTAACAGAGCGCAGTTTTCAAAAGACCCAACTTAACGCGTGCAAAATGATGGTTTACATGATTTGGTTTCTCAAAAATGTGTCCTATTCCCTGCAGCCCTGATCTGATCAGCCCAAACTAAACGCAGACCCACCCCAAAACGTGGAATACAATATTTCATCCAGTTCGAATTACAGAAGTGAAAGATGCATACAACACACACCACATGGCTGAGATGTAGGTTGGCTTCTTTGGGAGTGTTCTGAAAACATTCAAACAGTGTCCACTGCCATTGAATCGCCCTCAGCAAAAATTCAAACGTATAAATGAAATATGGCCAGAATGAACCTGAGCTTGTTCTTTGTGTTGTTACTTCTGTAAATATATCTGTAACATGTATTAACACAGTAGTGTCATGTGTTAATAAGACCATGTCATCAATTCAGGAAAACTATGTTCTAACAAATCTAAGTTGATAAGAAAAAAAGCCCAATAACTTATTTACATAACCAACCTTGAAATCTACCCGTCCGTATTTCCTCTATGATAAGCAATCTAAGTTTCTGTTTTAGGATAAATCAAACGCTATGGATGAAAAGCTGTGATGTAGGCTGTTGATCAAGCATAAATTACGTTTGACATTTGATGATTGTTGCTAACTTAAACTTAACTTATGAGGCACATATACCTCTAGTGAGTGGCCGCCCTTTTGAATATTTTTCTGTATGTGGGCCCTCAGTGAAAAGTTTGGACACCCTTGTCTAAGGACAGAGCGAATTTGCTTTCTGTTCCACTGTAAAGGCCTGCTGAGATAACATGGGGATATTTGTGTATTGCTATATGAATTACAACGTGAATGATGATTGGTGGTTGGTTTGATTGATTTATCAAAAAACGTCAAGTACGCCAGTGTCCCTTTAACTCTCTATTAGAAAGATATACGGTCTTTAAACGCCTCAGTTAGAAGATAACAGTCCTTTAATTTGGAACATGACCTATTCATTTGCTATATTGAAAATATATTGTAGGGCCGATACCTATTTTACAAAAACAATGTTCTGTTGACGTGCCATGCCTCATACTGCCCTTCATACCCCTCTTTTGCAGCCCTGTTTAGAGGGGTGTCTTTCTTCAATGTCAGTGAGGACAACGCTTCCTTGGATAGGACAAGTCCCTCCGAGTAAGGTCCTTCAGATAGGCGATGCAAAATCCTTTCCTAGCCCGGAAAAACAAAGACTGGTGGAACAGGCTAAACAGGTGTGCGTTCATATGCGAGGCCCTCCGCCTTACAATGTGAGCGCCGATTTCCGGCCAAACTATTTAG